GTATAGTGATCCGAATAGAGAAATAGTATAGGGAATAGAGTAATCATTATGGAGTAGAGAATAGCGGTCCATATAATGATAGAAAAGAAATAGCGACCCGAATATTAATAGAGGATAGACTAGAATTGGAGATCAATCTAGACGTCACGCGACTTCCTATATATGCGTTTCTTCTATGGTCACGTGGTCTACTTAATTCAATAATGGGATCGCCTCTGTTTGCTCACTGGCGATCTATGTTCAAACTCAAGTGTCGGCAGCGGCACTTTATTCCTATATTACACTTTACTATTTTACTTTTTCTTTTTTTTTTTTCTTTTTTTTTATACTAATTTTGTCGAATATATGTTCAATAAATTTAGGTAAAAATGGCGCAAGTGGGAAAATAGGAAAAATGGCACAGAGCGAAAACATTTTTAGAAAAAATTCTCACGTTATCTATTCAGTAAATTCTGAAAAAAATATATATATATAGATATCGAACCAGTAATTTTATTGTCAGTGGTTCAGTTGCGGGAGTTCTTGCTCAATTATTGAACTATGCACACAACTAGAAAATGTCCCGCTGAATCCTAGATAAGAAATAGGTTCACTTGTCCTGGAGCTGATAGCAGTGGCTCTATCACTACCCCAACCATGGAAGTTAAAGCAAGTAATAAAGGAAAAGAGAAGATTTACTTTCAAGGGTAAATGTAAACAAAACAGATTGCAAGATAAACTACTATCAAATGGAGATGTGTTAAGAGAACATTTTTGATAAAGATCCTGTACCATGACCACCAGCCTTGATATGACTATGATCTTGTATCCACCAGCTTTGATATGACATCCTGTACCATGACCACCAGTCTTGATATGACTGATTGTACCATGACCACCATCCTGACTACCACCATGACCACCAGCCTTGATGATATCTTGACCATGATCCGGATATGACATCCTGCCATAAAATATGACTGATCCTGTACTGCAACCATATGACTGATCCGATTGCAACCACGCTCCTGATTATGCAGCTATTGCATCCACAAAATGAATCAACAACATCAAGAGAAAAGCAACAGAAACAGAAAATCAAACGAGCCAGATTTATAGCAATAACCTGGATGCCTTTTTGTGCCTTTTTTTCTATTTTCCCATGTGCCATTTTTACCGTGCAATTTTTACCTGTGCCATTATTACTGTGCACGATGTTCAATACATCATTTCCTATTAGACCGTGATTAATTTCACAGTTTACCACGATAATTGGTGATATGTCAAACTTATTTTTTAGTTCCACGTAGGCTTCAAAATAGCGTAACATTTTTATCACAGATTCATCAAACTGATTCAATTGGACATGGCTTTTCTTTAATGTTCGTTTTCCTAATTTCTTCCAGAAATTTCTGGGTATCAACGTCACATTACTTCCCGTATCTAGTTGCATGTCCAATAAAACATTATTGATTCGGGTTTTTACTAACCCTTTTTCATTTTTTTAATGAAATCACGTCCCTACTTATTTCCTCTTCATTTTGTTGGACGGTCTCTACGTTTTTCTTTTTGGATTTACCCATACGTTTACAATGATTCATTTTATATGCAGGACATTTTTGTTTTTCTCTTTGATGTTGATATCCACAAAAGGCCTTATTTTTTTTTCTTTATGGCGTATGTGTTCATTTCCTCTACCAGATCCATAACTTTTGCTCTATTAAATTTTCTAATTGATTCTTGTTGCTGAACAACTTCAACACACGGTTCTAGTGACAACTTTCCCAGTTGTAAATGCATTAGAGTCATTTATCTATAATCCTCATTTTAAAGGCCGCTTACCAATTGCATTTGGATCAAATCCTCTTTGATTGACTTGTTTTCCGATCCCAATTTATCAAATTCACAATATTTAGCGGCCTGTTTTAAACGAAGAACATATTCAGTAATTGGTTCATTCTCTTTGAGAAATATTCATAAACTTGGACTCTTTCTGTATTCACTAGTTTTGACTTAGGTGTTATATTTTTCACTATTAATTGACTTATATCATTCTCTCAACATGTTTTGGGTGTGCAATTACTGATAATTTTATAATGGCCATACAACCGGCAGTTACCAAGAAGAGGTCTGATATTTGGTTTTCTACTTCAATTGATTTTAAATCCTTCAGTTTTTTTGCTCTAGTTTTAGCTGCTCGTATCCTAAGCTGCGCTTGTGTCTATTCGTAATCAAGTAAAAATTGTCCGCTTGGTTCTTCAGATATCAGCGACGCCATTGTAATGTAGCGTTACTGATTCACGAGAAGTAGTATGCATTTAACTACCTTATGGGTAGCTATTTATAGTCTTTGTCATTTAATATGTAAATGAGTCATGTAGAAGCAAGCGAACCAGAGTGGCCTGCATCTGGTGCAAAGGAAAATAAGTGTCTTACTTTCACGTGCATCACGTGACATCGGCATTTTGCGCCTTGAAAATGACATTACTCTCTCTTCTACCTAATCCAGCAGTATGTGTTGTAACGGTTTTTTTTGGGCTTTTTTTTTTTGTACAGTTTTGCATGGTTCGACTAATAGCAAGTCGTGTACTGATTGGTCGTACTGAAGGAGGATATTTGTTTGGGTAACTGAGAACAAAAGCAAAGAACGCTGATTGGTTGGTCGGCCGCGGTGGTAGCCTGGTAAACGAGGGCTGAAACAGTGAGAAGGGAGAACGGTTTTACGTTGGGGGAAGTGTGCGAAACGCAAGAACGGCAGATTGAACAAGCGGTATCTTGTATTGTACGAACGACGTCTGTGGAATAGAGATGCATTTAACTACAGTTCTAGCTTTAGCTGCTCGTATGCTAAGCCACGCTTGTGCCTATTCGTAATCAAGTAAAAATCGTTCGCTTGGGTCTTTAGATATCGGTGACGCCATTGTAGTGTAGTGTTACCGACTCACGGGAAGTAGTATATTTATTCTTTTTACTAGCACAAAACATTGTGGCATAAGACCGAAGGGGAAATGGGGTAAGGCTGGGCTTCACTGACTATCCTAGCCTTAGTTAATCACAATCACAACCCATTCATTCAATACTCAATTCTCACAAAAACTTGTCCATCACATCCCGCTCGTAAATGTACCACAATACCACATATTCACAAGGGACCTACAAAAACACCCCATGATGTAAAAATTTATAATGTTCATAAAGTCTCTTTTTTTTTCCTCAAAAATATATAAAAAATTCATGAAACATGAAATGTGTTGTGGAGTACCTCACAGTGGAGGCTTGTATTTGTACTAAGTCGGTCCTAAAATAGGTTCGACGTACAAAACGTTAGGAACTTGATATAATAGGTATAACGCAGAGTAATCTAGTTGTGGTTGCTGATACTTTAGTATTCGACTAACGGTCGTCCGACATCGACTGAATGACCGTCGATATTCAGTCACCCCCACCACGAGGGAGTCATGTAGCACAAGATCTTTTTAACGTGGGATCTCCGAGCCCGTGGGCTCGGCCAAAAATATGCCTATTGAACCCGTATAAACGGGTTCAGATTCGGTTTACCTCCTCGAAAGAGAATCCGCCCTTCGGTATAGCCTCCATCGGGTTCCTCCCGCCCGAAGGCAGAGAGTTCAACCGAACAGCCAGCCGACTGACTGACCGTCTCACTGAGCAACTCCTACTATTCCTACTTATTATAGGTGGGAGAGTCTATTAACTATAGAATAGGTGTGTTCCACTATAACAAAAATGATGGAAAGAGAACGAATTCCAAAAAAAAAACTAAAGACTGAAACAAACTAAAACAAAACAGATGTTAGTAAGACTCGACCACCCCTCAAAATAATGAGAATGGCCACTGTATTCTGCCGTTCAAGAGAATCAAGCGGCACACTCACTAATGAAGTGGGGAAAGAAAAATTAAACAGTGAATTGAGACACCCCACCAAAAAAAAAAAAAACGAAACAAAACAACAAAAAAAAAAAAAAAAAAAAACAAAGTCTGACCCAGTCGAGATGAAAAAGGGGACAAAAAACAAACAGGCGAGGTTGAAAATCTCGACATGGTTCATAACAAAGAGGGTTCTGAGAACAACACACTTATTCACATTAACTAGGAAAACATGACTCACGGGAAGTAGTATGCACTCAACTGCCTTATGAGTAATAACTAGATATTTCTAATCTTTGTGACTTCATATGTCAATGACTCACCTCAGTCGTATTATTTGCAGATGTAAGGAAGAAGATTTAAAGGAAACGACAATGGAGAACTTAACCGTTTCCATAGAGGAAACTTTAGACATTTACTAAACTGTTGGGGCGCACCCACCTTCTGGCTGATAATGGACTGATCCCTCTACGATATAAGTCAGTGCTAGAGAGAGTAGTGGTGTTGTGTGAAGGATCAAGTTCAGCGACAGCAGTCGAGATCAGGTTACCATTACATACCGTTGGACTGTAGACTTTTGCTATTGTTACTTACTAACCGGCGTTTCTTATTACTAATCACTCTGTTGTTAATTACCTCTTATAAATATACCAGTATTTATCCCTACAACTGTGTTTGTCTTTATTCGAATACACACACGCGGGGAACACTCCCAACAACTCAACATAAACAGTGTCAGTGTCTGTTGAAATTTATAAAATATTTTTCTTACAAGTTGTACAAGAAATTAAACTTCTCAGATCCACTGTTATCGCTGTTTCTAGTGTTGATGAGTGTTTCCTTCCTGGCCTTTTGCTTAAGATAATTTGGAAAGTCAACAATTTGTACTCTTGCGGGCCGCATAAAATCATCTACAGGCCGCATGCTATACGCTTGCTGTACTTGTTTTACTAGAGGTGCGACTATAGGAATACAGTCTTACTAATTGATCCATAGTCCTGTTAAGAAGTGGATTCATACCTTTTCCAAAGGTATTTGCGCGTAAGTGAATATAACAAGCCCAACTGGAATTAGAAATCGGCTCTCCACTTGCAATTACGAGCCATTATCCATTGCACCACTCGCACATCCAAGTTTACAGCACATGGTATTCCTAAGCAGTTACCCATTTAGATACTGACTAAGCTCGACGTTGCTTAACTTCGGTGATTGTGCGGGAACTGGCGTTGCAACGTGATATGGCCTTAAGCCAAATCATTGATCTGTGAAAACGTTCGTATATAGCTGATGGCTTAGACATTTCTGGACAAATTGAATGTCGTATATGGCATCCACATAAGTGTATAGATCTGAAGAGTTTTCGGTTTAATATTTTGATTTTGCAGCAACCTTATGGTTTTGAACAAAAATACCCGAAGAACAAATTATCTTGTGTTCTAATTCTATATTCCCTATATTAATTTGGTTCTAATTTGCTAAAATCCAAAGAATCTGTAATGTTATTGGCCTTAACATGGCATCTCGGCTTCATTCCCTTTCCTACTGCTGTAACGCAACTGCTCTCTGTCTTTCCTATAAATGCATTCATAGTAATTGTTCAGAGGAAATTTCCACTACACCGGAACAAGGAACACGATATTCATGCCCAGAATATTATCAGAAAGAGCGATCCAGATGCAGAAGGACGTGTACCTATGTTTCATAGACTACGCAAAGGCCTTCGACAAAGTACGCCACAAGGATAAGATGAAACTTCTCAGCCACCTCGTTGTATTCGGGAGGGATATCAGAATAATCAAGAATCTATACTGGCAGCAAACAAAATGCATGCACATAGAGAACGAGTTCAGTGAATATACAAAAATAGAAAGGGGCGTAAGACAAGTATGCGTCTTCTCACCGGACCTGTTCAATCTATAGAGCGAGGCAATCTTGAGAGAATTGGAAACCCTACCGGGATTTAGTATTGGCTGCCACAATCTTAACAACATAAGATACACAGATAACACAGTACTGATAGCAGACACGGAAAAGAAATTACAAAATCCCCTACAGAAGGTAGCGACGGAGAGTGAGAAGAAGGGACTAAGCATAAACTACAAGAAGACAGAATGAATGGTCGTCAGTAAGAGGGTGAACCCGAAATCTGAAGGTCGGGAACAATATAATCAAGCATCTGGGAAGCGTCTTGACAGAGGACGGTAAGTGTGACACTGAGACCCGTAGGCGAATTGGGATGGCGAAGGACACATTCCAAAAGTCAGGCAGAGTATTGCAAGACAGGGGGATATCTTTGTGTTATGGGGTCCTCCCTTTTCATATAAGTGGACTCGACCAGTATGTATTTGTACTGCTGCCGTTAAATACCCAGAGTTATACAGTCAGTCAGAGTAGAGAGATTGAGGTGGAGGTGAGGTAACCGCTTGTAGAAATAAGTTAAAGCACGTAGACTCTAAGAAATAAAATGTATATATCTATATATTATTGCTACTAACCGATTTAGTATTACCCTTTGTATTATTGTGTAAATACTTTTTATTTCTTTTTAATTTAATTCTTGCGTTTGTCATTCATTGGTTTCATCTCGGCAGAATGCATGGTCAACAGTAAGAGGATGAGCCCAAAATGAGATTTGCAGGTCAGGAACATTAGTAGGCAGGGAAAAGACGGGAATATTGCAGGAAGATTGTTGACCATGTTCACCATAGTCTATGAATATAGAATACAGCGAAGTACGTAATCTGTTCAATGAAACAACGTTAAAGATTAACACTCACGAGTCAGACACTCTACTGAATCTGACTATATCGCCAATACCACCAGCAGCTGTTCCGTAATTCGATATCAAAGGCTGGCAGTAAATATTCGGGAAAAACATGGCCGCCTTTATACACGTCGCATTGAATATTTTGAGCCGTCTGATTAGTTAAGCCTTCTATTGGTGAACTATAAAATGAGTCAGCTCATTTTGGCTGGCTCACTAGTAGACCAAGGTACCCAAAAATTCCAACAAAGATTCGGATTAGGAACCTGCAACGAATGCGAAGAAAATGGATCCAATGGTGCACAGCCACTGACCAGGTAAGACGTGGTTCCAAGAGCATCCAAGACGATTATGGACATGGAGGAGCCCAGGAGGAGAAACTAAAATCCAAATTGATTATATAATCATCAACAAAAGATTTAGAAATGCAATGATTCACTGCAAAACCTACCCAAGTGCCGACTGCGGAAGCGATCATAGCCCCCTTATATTAAGAGGCCTAATGCAGCACCCAAACTGCAATACAACAAACTCCTGAGCGATCATAGCCTAAAAGAAAAATATATAGACAATGTGAAAAGAAGATACGAGGCACAAAATGGAAACTCGAAATGGGACGCACTAAGAGACGCTTTAGTGACATCAGCAAACGATATCATCCCAAAGGAGACGGGAAGATGAAGAAAAGAAAAACGAATGGATGACTAATGAGATTCTCGACATGATGGAAAGAAAACTCGCCCAAGATACAGAACGGAATACAGAAAATTACACAATGAAATAAGCACCAAATGCAGGCAAGTTAAAGAAAAAATGTGCAGAAATAGAAAGACTGAACACTACCAACAGAAGAGACATGCACAAACAAATAAGACAACTGACAGGAGAAAAGACATGCTCGTCAACAGACTGCCTAAAATCAAAGGGTGAAACGCTCATATTAGAGAAGGATACAAATTCTTCAACGCTGGAGCGAGTATATTGGAGAACTCTTTCACGACGTAAGGGAACAACCAGCAATACACAAAACTACCGACGGGTCTGGAATTCTGAAAACCGAAGTAAAAGCCGCATTGGCCAAACTGAACAGAAACAAGGCAGCTGGGCCAGACGGAATTGTAGCGGAAATGCTGACAGCCTTAGATGGCTTTAGCATAGACAAGATCTCAGAAATAATAAATGAAATTTACAACAGGGGTGGGGGGATATACCGGAAGACGCCAGCAGATCTATCTTCGTAGCTATGCCTAAGAAAACAGACGCAAATGAATGCGAAATCAACAGAACAATAAGACTGATGAGCCACGTGACAAAACACATCATCCATATTCTAATGAACAGATCGCGCAGCAGAATCAGCAAAGACATAGGACAAGAACATAACTGACTGATTTTCCAGTCGAATCCATTATATTCACTTACATGCTAATACCCTTGGGAAAGGTATGAATCATCTTCTTCTCCCCCCCCCCGAAGCCGTGGGTAAATAGCAAGACAGACGGGGTTCTATAGCCTTAGATAGCAACTGGTCTACAACAGAAAGAAATGGTAACCTACTGCAGAAAAATCTGCCTCATTAGTCATATATCGAAAGATACATGATCGCCTAAGCGTGTATCATGCATGGCACATAACTGACTGCTTGAAATATGCTTACGTGTTGGACTAATTTGAGCCTTGTATGTTTATAAACCTCATTCTAAATATATACTTAATAGACTATTCTGAGCCTTTTCATGCTTATAAACTTCATTCTTAATAGACTATTCCGAGCCTTTTCATGCTTATAAACATTCTTAATAGACTATTCTGAGCCTTTTCACGCTTATAAACTTCATTCTTAATAGACTATTCTGAACCTTTTCATGCTTATAAACATTCTTAATAGACTATTTCTGAGCCGTTTTTTCATGCCTTAAACATTCTTATAAACTTTCTTTTTCTTAATAGACTATTCCGAATAGACTATTCTTTTTTCATGCCTATAAACATTCTTAATAGACTATTCTGAGCCTTTTCACGCTTATAAAACTTCTATTCTGATTCTTAATAGACTATTCTGAACCTTTTCATGCTTATAAACATTCTTAATAGACTATTCTGAGCCTTTTCACGCTTATAAACTTCATTCTTAATAGACTATTCTGAACCTTTTCATGCCTATAAACATTCTTAATAGACTATTCTGAACCTTTTCATGCCTATAAACATTCTTAATAGACTATTCTGAACCTTTTCATGCTTATAAACTTCATTCTTAATCTATGCTTAATAGCTGACCTAATTTGAGCCTTGTCATTTTTTAAATCTACTTAAGATTTGGACTATTCGTATCATTGACATGCGTATAAGCTTCATTCTTGAAATTAGCTTAATTTTTGACTGGATAGTTACATGGTTTTTAATGACCCGAGGGTTTTATGCAGTAAAAGGATACTAACATTATAGTGCATGACCGCTAAGTTTTTGAAATAGGCATTGTTATGTCGATATTTTCTGATATTTATAGTTGGATGGCAAAAGAGAAAAAATAAGTTATATCGGCATTTATTTGCTTACATTATTTGCCTTGTCTAGTTTGATAAAAAGAAATAGTGTACAAAGGTAAGTCGATTTGAAGAGTTCTTTCTTACTGTTGTCAGCAGTGAGTTACAGTGGTATCTAGTTTGGCATTGCCTTAGTGGAAAGCGGAGCACCCAGGTTCGAGCTAAATGGCGTGTAATTATTTTTGGTACTCACTGCGTGTCTATGCCGTTGAACATCCTTTTATAAAGTTGGCTTCCATAAAAGTTGATCAGATAGATGTATTTATTTACTTTCTTTTCAAAGATTTTGCTAGTCGAAAAGCAATTCAAATATTTTTTTAAAATTTAACAAGTTGACTGCCAGAGGAATCAGACTCTAAAGGTCAACTTTATAATAGCTAACTTGGGTAATTTTTTTTCAAAAGGTTTCGTTTATCCATATATATAAAGTTGTAGCCTCTGCCAGTCTGTTCTCGAACTCCTCCTAGGGTTTTGGAGATATATAACCATATATATTCTGAAACTACATTACGCAGGGTACTTGGATAAGTATATTTCATTTTGATCAAAGGGTGTCCCCAGAGGCGTGGCTGAAAATTTTTGTTCCTTTGATATAAATTAAATTTAAATTTGAACAAGGGAATGACTCCTAGAGTACTTGGATAAGTAGATTTCATTTTGATCAAAGAGTGTCCCCGCCTCTCTCCCCAACACAGAATTTTCCCTTTGATTTAGATTAAACTTAAATTTGAACAAGTGACTGTCTTCTATCCAAAATATAGAAGGAGAAAAGCCAGAAGATGGAGGTCACATTGGCAAGATCATTGTGTAACATTGAAATGAATCATTTTCTCCACAAATTTTAACAATGATTTTAAATCAATCATGATTTTCTTACAAAAAATGTGTGACACGCAGCAAGACGCGGGTAATTCGTCTAGTGTGTAATGTATTAA